AGAATTAGAGGCCATCCATGAGTCTGGTAGATTGGTTTAGAATGAATAAAAAGGACTTTATACGGGGCAGGGGGGAGAATGAGCTTCTGGAACTTGCTGCCACAGGAGGTTGTGGAAACAAATAGGATCAGCAGGTTTATAAAAGGTATAGCAAATTCATGAGCAGCAGGTCAACAGATAGATGCTGAAGGCAACAGGCACAAACGTACCCTCTGAAATTGCTAATACTGCTGGTGTGGATGCTGGAGGAGCACAATCAAAAATGGCTAGGCTCGTGTGCTCTCCCCCGATGGCATCTCCCGTTGCTGAAGACAACCCTGGGAGAGAGGAACCAATGATGTGACCAGCAGAGCATTTCCTGTGTTCTCAGTTTCACCATCCCTAAGCAAATTCAGATCTTCTCAGGTGGTTGGTGTGTGGTAGGAAGACAGGGCAACCAGCAGGAAGAAAATTTTTGCATTTCTATTCAATTTCCATCTCTGTAGTAAAAATCTGATCGATCCCCGGTGGACAATGTCAAGCAGGTCTGACCAAAAAATATTGTAACCTCATTGAAAAGGGTTGCTAGTGATACATTTGAGATGAAAGTCTGGCTAGATCTAATTATCAAAAAAGACATGGTCAGCCACAAAAAGAAGGTGGAAAAACAGTGCAAAGTAGATGTGGAAAGCTTCTGCCGTTTAGTTGATGAATGGCTCCAAAACAGCAGTGATGGCATTGAGAAGGCATCAGTAGCCAACGTCGTGTTACCACAGATCTGCTCCTTCTCCTCCCAGATATAAAATCCAAGACCTGGATTCTGTTGTGAACATCTCCGAGGACGGGGGATTTGTGATCCCTAATGCCTTTTTGGTCACGGGGGCTCACAGAGAGACCTAGGCTCCTCACAGGTCAGCTCTGAGGGGATCAGCAAAAAGGTTTTCTAAGACGTTGCTTGCAATGTTAAACTTTTTGTGATGGCAAAGGAGAGCAGACAGTGTTTTAAGTTCTGTGAATACTTGTTTTTATCAGCCCCGACCTGCTGGAAGGGTTTGTGCAGCTGTGCTTGATGTGGCTGCTCTGCTGGGAGCAGTCTCTGCTTCTAGGAAAGGAAGGAGGAAAAATACTTGAAGTCCTTCATCAAAATTGGTATTTTAGTGAAGGCTGACTATTTTCTGTCTTCTATGACCAGTTTTCCTTTTCCCACTGGCAAAACAGCCAGCAGAGAAGGTGGGAGGATCCTAAAAAGTGAGCATTAAAGTATATTTCAATGATTCCGGTATTTTCAAACTGTTTGCCTGAAAAAACGCCCCTTTACCTTAGCAACAGATGGAAGCCATCTCCACACAGCCAGTATCTTTGAGAAGCGGCAGAGGATGATGGGGTCGCAGAAACGAGACCATAGGGTCTTTTATCATTAGCAGCATAGAAGGACGAAACTGAGGAACCATGAACCAGTCAACTTCAAATCACAAACAAACAGTGGGACATTTAATTGAAGAAAGAGATGAGTAGTAACCATGGCCATTGCCAAAAATGAATCATTTCAGACGAGTCTGTTTTCCTTCTGTGACAGATTCCAGTCCTTGGTTCAACATTATTATTCACTGTTTCTTCATCAGTAACTTATGTGTTGTAATGGAGAATGTGCTTATTAAATTCTCAGACGTGCCTGAGCTGGAGGGGCTGCGAGCACCCCAAAGCACTGGGTTAAAATTCAAAATGATCTAGACAAATCGGAGAGATCAGTTCAGTATGGAAAATCTGACATTTAGGAAAGGGTAACTGTCCAACCACAAGGCAAACAAACTGCTTACGCAGCAGTTTTTCAGCAAAAAACCTATAGGCTGCACCAATCATGAGTTATGCTATTGGCATATTGAATGCCTATGTGGGATGTATAAACGGAAGAACAGTTTGTAAAACAAATGATGTTTTCCCTCATCTCTCCAGCAAGAGGATCTCTCAACTGGTTTCTTAAGATCAGCTTCCAGTAATAAACCGATTCTGTATTTTCCCACTGCTTTTCTGCTAAATTTTGAATGGGAAATTCCTGGTAAACTCCCCTAGGATGCTTGACCTCCTCCAGAAGTATGTACTTCTGTGTCCCTCTCCAGGACGCACTCTCTGGGGCCATGACTTTTTATCAGACACTAATAAGAGTAGTACCCAAGCTACCTGGACAACGCTGTTTGCAGCCTCTCAAGAGACTGGTAAAAGTGTTGTGATCAGGGAAGTCATAACCATCAAGCTTGTTTCCTGACGTCATTTTAGTTCCTCTTTTGATAAAAACGAGCTCTGAGATGCCACTCTCCTCGGTGACTATCATATAACAAAGTACCGTGTTGTTCTGCGGGTATCTTTGAACAATAGATGTTTTGTCCATCAAGAATAAATGTTGATGAGTGGCGAGAAAGGCCTCCAGATAGTGGAGACATCAGGACAGGCTTCTGTCTGACCTGAAGATGTTCATCTTCCTCCTTCCCCTGAACCTGCCTACTGTGACTCTGCCTCCTGAGTGCTGCCATGGCCTGGGTCGGGGGGCTTTGCCCCCCAAGTCCACCTCCTCCACGTCACCTGGTGCTATTTCGGGCTGCCGCTGCTGTGGCAATGCAGAGATTGCCTCCACCTCGTCAGCACCAGGGCTGCAGCAATACAAGCTGCAAAACCAACCTGGGCAGGCAGTGGGGGAAGTACTTGACCTGCCGCTGCGCTGCCTGCAGGTCCCGAGGCAGCTGGGCAGGAACGCCAGCTCAGGGAGAGCCAAGCCGTAGAAAGCTGCTGCCAGCATGTCTGGCCCATGGGGCAGGCTGTGTCCTGGGGCACACGAAGCCATGGCCACGGAGGGATGCCCAGTGAAGGGAACCCAGGGCTCACGTGCCCCTGTGCTATGAGTCAGGAGGCATGGGGTGCCCGGCTACTGGGGCACCCAGCACTGGAAATGGGCTGCTGGGGAGGGGTCCCGCACCCCTCCGAGCTGGCACCGGTATCCCCAGTGTGCTCAGGACCTGGGGCTGGCTGGAAGCCCATCCTGGCAGCCTGCTTCTCCCTGCCCGGAGGCTCCAGCTCAGCCCTGCGGGCAGGACCAAGGCTTGGCCCTCTGCACCCTCTGCCTGGCCCCGATAAAGCACCACAGCTTGAGGTCCCCATCTTGTGGCAGCAGGGACAAATGGCTGGGACAAAACTCATCCTGGCTCTTTGGAGCTCGGTGGTTCTTTGGCCAGGCAGAGCCCTGGGAAAACGCTGCAGAGCCAGGACACTGCCCACTGCCACACAACGTGTCCTGCCTAAAGACACAACACGGCAGGGAAGTGGTTGGAAGCAAAAGCCTGGCAGAGGCAGTGGGGACAACTGCCAACCCCTTCCCCTCCACGCACATACTGTCCTCTGCGTTGCTCTTACAGACCCCGCGAGGGTCCTCTGTGGCCAGGTTTGGAGCATCCCAAGTCTGTGCTGGGTTTGATGCTGGCCCTTCCCAGTGCTTTACACACTAATCCACACCGCCTTGCACACCTGTGTGCCCTGACCCCCCCACCATGCCCCTGCTCCCCCCGAGCTCCCCAGGGAGCAGAGGCTCTCTGTGGAGCAGCGTTGTGCCCATGGCTATGTCTGGGTGATGTTGGCTGGAAGGGTGCAACCTGCTCCAACACCCTGCTCCATGCAAAGGTAGATCAGGTTGGTCAGTGATGCCCTGACCAGTTTTGTCTTCCCCTCCTCACCGTGCCCAGGTGTGGTGGGTATGTGGGGTCATGATGCCTGTGGTGCTTTGCAGGAGAAACCCTGGGGGCTGGAGGGCGTCCCTCTCTCTCTGGAGTCATTTGGGGTCTCTCCTGCCTCTGATATGTTCACTGATGGTGACTGGAGGCTGC